AATCGTTAACTGCTTTTTGCTGCATTTCAGTATTAAATTTGATATATGGTGCAAGCCAATTAGTTTGCTCAAATGATAAAATTTCATACACTTCATCTATAACTAAACCCAATTTTACATAATATTGAAGCTCTAGATAATGTATAACGTAATTATCCCTTGGGCCAAGATGAGTAACTAATTTCTTTGTTGATGAAAATCGATTATTATCTAATTTTTTTATTTGCTCTTTATTATGATAACTAAGCCAATCACGTTTTACTGCAATATTTTCAACTGCTGGTGGCAAATCCTTAAGTTTATCATGAGTACCTATAGGAAAATGCGCTTTTATATTTACAAAATATCCTCGACTGGCGTCAGATTTTGTTTTTTGAATTGTTTCAAGCCATTCAAATTGTAATTCTGGATTATCCTTTAAATGTGCTCTACGTGCCTCCCATTTATAATTCCTAATAGGAAGAAATTGACTCATAGCCCAACCATATAAATTATTTGCATTGACATATGAAATCCATGTAGTTGGTTTAGTTGGATCAAATTCAGTACCCATTTTTGGATTATTGGCTTTAAAATATCAATGACAAGCTAATGAAATACCTCCTCTTTTGGCTTTTTCGATAAAATTGTGCATTGATATATCTGTAAAGAGCTCAATTTCAACTCCAGTCATTTTTAACATTGCATCCCATGTTAATGAAACTGTAGATACATAATGGCTTGGATCAAGTTTATATTGTTTCATGGAATTTTTGCAGAATGTATTCCATATATCTGAAAGAAGAAGTACATCTGTTTTTAGGTATAAATAATGGTAATCTCCTAAATTTTTGCAACCAAATGTTTTCCAAATATTTTGTGCTTGCTCATCATATTCTTTTTGTGGTATTTTTCTGCCAAGTTTACTATTAAATTTTTCAATAGGAGGAAGCTCAGTTTTTAAAAATCTTTCAAGAGAATCAATATATTCATAAGGATAAATCCCCTTTTGACAAACCATTGCAATTTGTTCTTTTGTATAATTTTTATAATGTTTTACTGTTATTTTATGTTTTTCAAGTGTCCCAAAGCAACGTTCTTTATCTAATCAATGAAAATGTGAGCATGTTGAATCTTTACATTTTATTGCGCCTAAGTTATTGGCAAGACTTGATAAACTAGAATTCATAAATTGGTATGAATCCATGTATTTTAATTGTCCGACTTTCATTGTTTTATATCGTTCAAATGTTTCTGCAATAACACGAACTTGATGTGCGCTAGCTGATTTGGCTACTGATTGGCAAACTATATGAGAATCATATCCTCTAAAATTATGAATTATTACAGGAATTGGAGCTTCCATGGTTTAATTTTAAGTTGTAAATTACAATTACTATGGGCTGCTCCACAGAATTTTCCAGTCATATGACAGTGGTCCCAAACCTTTATACCTTTACTACATTCAGTTTTAATATTTTCATCAATTTTTTCAACTTTAAACGTTAATGTTGAAGTATCTTCTTTCTTCTTATACAGTTCTTCTATTTTGTTATCAAGAGAAATGCTTTTTTTTTCTAATTGAGCTATTTTTTCTTCATCTATTCTAAATGCTCCATTGCAAATCCAGCATTTATCTGCATTATCAATTTTTTTTTGATATTCATCATTTATGATTTTATCCACATTTACTGCAAGTACCTCATTTATTT